TAAAATGCATATCAGAACATTTTGAACTGCATTTTCATGAAGTTCCACTATGCAACAAGGGAACATTTCTAAGAGGAAATTGTTTATTTCTAAAATTTAAAGTATGTAATATATCTGGAAATTTATGCAATTGTATGTTCATAACAGGTTACTGTACCTTCTTGAATTCTTTGTAATATGCTCTAAGTGATCCCTCTGTGAACAAGTTAAACAAATATGGCAGTCATAAAAAGAACATCAATGATAGATTTAGACAGAGATAAATAAACAAACAGTGTACATTGTCAATCAATTCATCAAAAATAAATCACTCAATCAATTTGATCAATAAAGTTAAAGAGATTGCCAAAAAAGGTAAGTTTACAAACCAACACAACAACAATTAACACTTTTCTGTAATGTTAAGAGACAGAATGAAGAATATTCAATTTTCCTGTACCCACCTACTTTTCTGCCTGAGTTAATATCTGATTGAGAATTTTCTTTAATTGCTTCCTATAAAAAAATATAAGGTTTTCCATAAGAAAATATTAAGTAACAAACCCTCTTTGACAGGCAAAAGCTTGGCCTTGTCCAACAATCTGACTGTGTATGTATGATACAATGATAAGGAACATTTTTTTCCAGAAAATGAAACAGTTTTTCTATTATTCACCACCACTTCTTGTGCAACAAACACCAGTCAGTGGCCTGACATATGACCTGCCTACTAACAAAAATAATTTACAGGCTTGTCTCAAATTCCATAAAAATATAGAGCTGTATACTTCATATCCCTTTGCTACAGACACCACCTAATCATACAGTGGTTTAATACAAAACATTTTATCAGAAATTGCAGCAAACACATTCCAGTAATTGTACCTTTCTTTCAAACTCCTTTCCTCTCTTAAGAGCATCCTTCTGCAAACTTTCAAGATTTCTTTGTTTATTCACTTCTTTCAACCGGTTCTTCTTTCTTCTTTCTTTATCTTCTTCTTGCTGCAAGAATTACAGTATGATCTTATTAAACACTAATTTATAAATAAATGTTTCCTAAAATATTAGAACTTCTTCACAATTTAACAAAGAGGCAGTTTGGAAAGTTAACCAGCACAACCTTAGTGGGTGCTCTCAGACAACAACTGCTATTTCAGCCACAGGTTCAAGTGGTCCCATGTGGCTAAGTTGCAGTTGAATCTTAATGCTTGAAAAAACCTTTTGTTGCGGTTGTCTTTCAGTCCTGGATAGTTTGGAGCAATTTTTTTCAAGTGTTCACCTTTTTCTTTACTCTCATCACTTGTTTGCTCGATATAATGTTGACATTGTAGGGAGAAATTCTTTCTTGGTCACTCATAGGAGTTAAAGGGTTAATGGCTAATTTTATTGTCTATGTATGTTTAGTTATTAAGTACTCACTCTTCTTTTCTTGTCCTCTGCTTGTTTAAGTATTTCCTCTTTGAATGGAAAAAGGTTTGGGACTCCTGGATCTTTCTTGTGTTCTGAAATATTAACATTTTTAATAATTAATCCAAGACAGTCATCTAGTGTGAAGAAAGGGCTTAAAAATACATCAACCCAAACCAGGATCAGAAAAACTCTATGAAGCAAGCACCTTGAACTAATTCAACAGACGATGAATACAAGTTTTCCAGCATGTAAAAACAATTTCAGGTTTAACTCCAATTTGTCTTATGTCTGAAACAGAGGATCATACAAATAAAACAAGTTTGAAACAATTTAGACTTGAAATTTGTTTTAAGCAACAATGCAATATTAAGACACAAAGTCTTTTCTGACATGTTTATCTGGGTTATCATCTAGCTCAATTTAAGCCTATCATTTATGGATTTTACATACTTTTTGTTTTTCCACTAATTTTGGCTTCTTTTCGTTGTTTCCGAAGATGCTCCCTGATCTGGAAAAAAAGGTGAAACAATATTCAACATTACCTTAACTACAAAGATATATTTTTAGGTTTGTAATCATTGATCCCAAGAAGGGTATGTAGGACAAGTTGGCGATTTTATCTCTTTATCATAATACAAATGATTTTCAAGTGGCCATGCATCTATTTTTCAATGGGACAAAAAATGCACCAAACAATGTGTTGCTTTATATCCCTCCAACTAATGTTTGTAATGTTAATATTCATGTTTGTACTGTTAATATTCATGGAGAAAGGAATAAAAGAAAAAATGGGTGTCGGGTAAAACCTTGAACAGCACTCTTCTAAAGGTAATTGCTGATGTTCAAGTCACAAGGGAATGAATTAGAGGGGGTATAATGAAGAAGTTGGTGTGGCATCATCTTGATAGTATATATGATATGTTTAGATGTGTGATGAAAAAGTAGGTCATTCCTAGTGTTTTAGTCTATTTTATCCCCACTGTATTTCTTGACTTTGGGTAAGATATACATGTAGTAGCCATGGTGACTCCCTTGATGAGACTCTATCCTCAAAAGTTCAACATGACCACTATCTGATGATAGTCTATCAAAACAATTTAAAGCTAGGTTAGTTGTTCCCTTTATCCACTGAGGTATAGTGTTGAGGCATTAGACAAGCACTATAATTTTTAATAAAAGGGTATGTTTCTAAAGAAACCGTAATGCTGTGTCAGTGGGAGAGTATAACAGGGTAATAAAGTGTTATCAACTAAGTTGATAATGTAAATTGGCCACCGTGAAGAGTTTAAAGGCTGACATTTAAAGTGATTATTGCTCTAACAATGGGCTAATGTTCAAAACGTCAGCCTTTAAACTCTTTACAGTGGCCAATTTACATTATCAACTCAGTTGATAGCACTTGATTACCCTATTTCTTAATAGTTTAGCAAATACAGATTTATTGTGAATTATGTAAAATGGGAAATATTACTTGGGTTATCATAATAAAGTGAGTTTACACCATTATCTTGATACAGCAAGTGTGCAACTCCAACAAAATCCATAACTCTCCCCAACCCACTAAAGCAGACAAGCTATGGTCAGCTAAATACATTGGAAGCAGTTCAAAGAATTTTAGGAAACATGCGATTAACTGCAATTGATCTTTCTGAGAAGTTTACTCACAGACTG